TAGGTTTTTTGTTTCGGAAACATAAGCAAATAAGGATGAAATGATGAAATTGAAGATAAACTGAATGCGTATATGAACCCCAATTAAAAGTCAAAAATTACACAGATAATTTATTGCCAAAGCCATAACCTTAAATAAAGTCATTCAAATTTCAAGAGAAGTCTAGTCAAAACTACCAAAATAAAAAATCAAACATACAATGTAAAGCATTTTTTTTAAAATAAATAAATAAATATGCGTGCGTAAAGCATTTTTAAAAAAATAAAATAATAAAAATAAATGTGTGTGTGCGCGCCCGCGCCAGATATCTGAAATTTCAAATTTCTAACACCTTCAAATGCAAAAGCTTTTAAGAAAGAAAAAGACAGTATTAAATTAGTATTTGCATAGATCAAAGATACTCCCATGTTATAGAATATTTAAATATGGATACACAGACGTTAAGAAATAGGAGCTTGCTCTATTGTAAATACAATTGTTCACCTTACAAATTTAAGAAACCAATTCAAAGTTAAATGTACCTAACAGTGAAACAAATGCAGAACAGGTCGCCTAAAATATGACAGAGACAGTAGATATAATATCTGGAAGTGTAATCTAATGTTATGCCCAAATTTTGCTTCCGCGTGTCCTAACTCCTAAATCTAGGATTCTGCCATACATGCCAAATAAGAACCTAACAATCTGGTCTTCATGTACAATTGATGCTAGAAAAGATTGATCAAATCTAAGCGTTCACAAAGCTCACAATGTTAACCTAATATCTTAGAAGGAAACAGTCTCAGATTCAAGCTTCCTCCATGATGTTCATAGTATATTCTCAGAAGATCATTGTACTTGCTAAAGCCATAGGTCCAAGGAGTATGAACCATTACTCCAAGTGAAAATTTTCCATTTCACCTCAGCCTCCAGCAACTCTGACATGCTCAATTTGTGAAGAATAGGAGAATGAAAGAGGAACAAAAATAGGAAATGAAAATAAAAGATTATGTCACCACCTATGTCAAGCAAAAGGATCATGGATAACAGGATACGGGATATCAAATGAACAAAGGTAGGAAAACATCGAGGATTTTATATTAGTGCAAATAAATAGTCCAGACAATCCACATGGACCACATCACATTAATAATGCAGCTAATTAATGGATAACAAGGGAAGCCAAAGACTGGAGAATGATAATATTAGTGTCAGAAGGGAAAAGGAAAACAAATTGTGCCCCCAACCAACAAGGCATACAGGTGTTAGCCAGGTGCACCTTGCACTTAGTAAAGACCTGGAAATAATTGAAGCATTCCATCAGAGCTATACGCATACTGAAAAGTTAGTTGCAATTTTAAATGGATTAATCCCGAGAATCCCTAAAACACCATGAGCACTAATTTCTTGTTGAACCTGAAAAAAGGAGTGCATAATTTAAACCTCCCTATCAGAATCTAACACACACACATAGAGGATGATAAGAAAAAAGAAAATCAGGATTAGCGTAACTTAAGTACACATCTACAAATGTATAGGGATAGGTAGAGAAAAGAAAATGTATAAAAGGCTTCCAATGATACCAATAACATTGTAGAAAAATACCTTCGCATGAATATCAATCATTAAACATGTTTGTTTGAAAGGTTCATAGTCCATCCATATGCTCACAACAGTTTTGAGTAATTTATCTCCAAGCATAAGAATGTGGGCTACATTTCTATAAATTAAAAACCAAAAGTACAGGCAGCTCAGCTTATCTTTATATCCCAGTACCTGCTCACACATTTCAATGGCCTGGAATATATGGACAAATATCACTGTGCCTCTCCAGACTCTTTTTTTGGGGCATCCTTGATCTCATCTCCAGTTTCCTCCTGGAAACAAAAGAAAAAAATATATATATGATAACAGATAAGACAAAAACATACAAAAGAACAATTTGCAGGAAGCTTCCTTTGAAAAAGCAAAAATGGTAACAAATCATACTGTGATGTCAGAAGTCCACAAAGTCAAATTGTCTCGGAGAAGCTGCATGATCAATGTGCTATCTTTGTAAGATTCCTCACCCAAAGTGTCCAGCTCTGAGATGGCTTCATCAAATGCCTGGCAAGGGCAACCAGTTTCACAAGAGATTAGTAATAAAGCAAACGCATTGAATAAACTGCAGGAACCAATATAATTTGCACAAGTCCGTTCATTCTTGAAAGACATTTATAATGATTGTCCCTACGGTAATCATGCTCAACATTTATTTAACTATCAGCAATGGCTTCTACATTACAGTATAAAACTGCAATCATGAGCTGGCCATATAATTATAGCAACAAGCAGCAATTGCAGAAAGACTGGACCACCAGAGAGGAAATTGACACAATAAATTTCCAAATATCGAAGTAAATTAAGTGACACACTGCAACATAGATGTTTGCTAAGGTTACCATTGAAAGAAACATGCAGAAATAAAAAAATAGCAAGGAAAACTCCTATCCCGGCTAAAGGCTCCAAGGCTACATGCCAAAATGTGTTTGAAGGTTTAAGTTGCTAGATACGGCAGAGATTCACTTCCATGTATGTATTACAATAAGTTTATTGTTAGTTATGAACTCATTTTACTTAACCTCACAAACTAAAATTACAAGTGACTGGCCCTAAAGGTTTCTGATAAGTGTTGATTTTTGTTGTGTTATATCTGAATTACATGTGATGATTCCTTTATGATGGTTCCTTCGTATTATTCGTTTTGTTGATTAGATAACTATCAATAGTTCAGACTTTAATAACAACATATTAGGTAAAGACAAACTACACTATTCGATAGATGACACAGGGGAGGAGATAGGTTAAATGTATCAAGCCACTCACGCACATATATGCATGCAGTATTTGATTTTTAGTTTGGTTTCCGCTTTGTACATACTACCAATATTGCCATCCTCCATCAGACGTGAAAAGACATCACCCCAAGTAAGTCATCAACTACAAAGACTTTGTCTCAAAATCTGTTAAACAACTAAACCTTCACAGTCAGTCAAGAAACCTGATACATGCCAATGAGATGCCATCTTAAAAGGTTCCTAGTTGTTCTGATATGACATCCATAGAGTAAATCTAGATTGCTGGAGAAATTTATGTCTGTGTTTTCACAGTTAACTATGAGCAAACGTATGTATCTAAACAAATAATGCATGTACAGGCTTCCACTTCAGTGACTTCACAAGAACATACCGTATAATTTAACACATAAAGATAATGTATTGGACTGAACATCCTACAGTCTTTGTTAATATGGTAATTGAAAAGTAATGCAGTGTTCTAAAAATAGAAATAATTACTTGAGGCTACAGGAGTCTTACATCCTGCTTCACTTCCTGTCCATCTCAAGAGGCAGCTCTAGTTTTACAGGCGTTGTAATCAATACGCAGATGTATAATTAATCTTAAAATCACATATGAAATCTATATTTGATCTACGGCCCCCCTAACAGTGCCAAAAGAAGTTAACAATCCCAATAGACACACTACTAAAAGTCATGTTCTTTGATGGTACACAGTTTTCACACATCATGCTTAGGTATATCATATACATAAACAAATGACATTATATTAAAGTTAGTCTTAAATCTTAAAAATATATATAATCGATATCAATCCAACAATAAACGGCATTACATATAAACTGAACCACACAGAGATTTACCTGCTTTGCTAGAGCACAAGCACGGTCAGGTGAGTTAAGAATCTCATAATAAAATACTGAAAAGTTGAGTGCCAGACCCAGCCTTATTGGATGAGTTGGGGTCAGCTCAGCAAGAGCAATGTCCTGTACACAAGGGAGGCAGGTTTTGTAAGATGATACATAATAGAACAGTAGCAAAATGAATCTTACAAGTTAATAAAAAAAATCACATAACACAGAACCAATAGTTCACCACAGTGTTTGATAGAATAAAAATCCATGGATAACAGGAAAGGCCAGTGATTATTCCACAATTAGAAATAAACATATACCTGGAAATTAGAATGCTCTTGTATAAAAGATCATTTTGCAACCTTCATTATGCCAATATATAGTAAATTATTACAAAAACAAAAAGAAAAGGATCTTACGAACAAAAAGTTGCTGAAGTCGGAAGACATGTCACAGAACAAACTATAACTATTGATGCCAATGCACATAGGTCTATTTCTTGAAAATATAAAGAACACCATACAATCATACATCTCAAGCTGAAGATTAAGAAATAGATATATAGCATGTACAAGTATGGTCAACAAGAACTACTTAAACAAAGTATGGTCATTGGTAAGATAAGCAGGAAATAACTATGATATAGAAACCACCTAACTAAAGAGGATTTTAACACAATATGACCGACCTGAGCAGATTTGTAGGCCACGAGTGTGCTCTCAGCTGCCTCTTTCCTCTCAGTGCCAGTTTTAAACTCAGCAAGGTACCTGAAAACCAAACAGACAATAAAGCAAAAAAAGAGAAGAAGAAAAAGTTGACTCCGAGGAGTCATATAAGATTTCTGTAAGCTGCTTTACCTAAAGTAATCACCCTTCATCTTGAGATAGAACACCTTGGACTCCGCAGCTGTAGACGATGGTATGAGGTGAGACTCAAGAAGCTTGAGAATCCCATCACAGATCTTGCTGAGCTCAGCCTCGATCTTGCTGCGGTACTCCTTGATAATGTTCACGTGATCTTCATTCCCACGACTCTCCTCCTTTTGCTCAATGGAGGATATTATGCGCCACGAGGCTCTACGGGCCCCAATCACATTCTTGTAAGCAACAGATAGGAGGTTCCTTTCCTCCACTGTGAGCTCCTCCGTCTCCACCGTCTTTGCTACATTCTCCATGAACTCCACCATCTCCTCATACCGCTCCGCCTGTTCTGCCAACTTAGCCATGTACACATTTTCCTCACGGGATGACTCAGCTGGAGACATCGTTCCTCTGTTCGTCCTTTATTCTGTAAGTAATATAACTTTATTCAGGATCAATTATTCATTGCGAGCATTATTTAGCACAAGGAACATGATCAATCTTTAGTCTTCATTCTCAGGCTGAGAGAGAAATCTTTCACACAATTCAGATTTCAGTTCAACGTACTTAGACAATAGACATCATTTCTCCTTGCCTTCTCTTTTTAAAGTAAAAGGGAGTTTACTTCTATAGTTTAATGCTGTGTTAATTATACATGAATCTAAATGATTCAAGCTAGTTTCATGCAATAGAATATACCAAAACAAAGGAGAAAGATGTAAATACGGCAAAAAATTAATCTTTCTTTTTCTTGTCTCTACTCTTATATATAAATAGTTCAATTTTTTTTAATGACTTTTGTGTGCACTATAGATGAATCTTAACTCTTAATGATCCCAAAACTTTGTTGCACACGACAGAAGCTACAAAAATTAAGCAACTAAAACTCTTCTGTTAATCATGAAACTAAACATACATCCAAGCAAGGATGAATCTTTCTCACTTGATTAACAATTATAAGACCGTAGTTAGTAAAAAAAAGGGGACATTTACACAAATGCTTGAAATTTAGTAAATAGCTAAAATTAGGCAACAAGAGAAGAGAAATTATCGTCAAATCAAATCAAATAATCGAGAAGAATAATAAGTAAGATTACCCTAGAAAAGTTCGTTCGTTGGAGATTTCTCTCTTCGGGTACTGAATTAGGGCAAACGGAGTTTGAGGACAAAGAACCCTAAAAAGGATCACTTCCCAAGAGGTCAACGAACCAGTGAGAAGACGACACGTGTGGTCGTCAGGAGCTTTCATGGGTTTCTTCACGCGGTGGTGATGCCACCTAGGTCCCTGAAAGTAAGATGAAGAAACTTAAGCTCACTCGAACACCTTTCCCCCAGATTCTCACCCTTAGAGGAGGTGGGCCCATTTGATCGTAACAGGTTACAAGTTGGAGGTGCCCTGCTTTCATCAATATCTATTTGGAAAGTGGTGGCCATGGCTTTCAATACGCTCACATGGAGACGGTGTCTCTCCCCTACGACATATATCAGGCCGCCCGCCGTTTCCCACGCACTAATACTACTTTTTTTTTCAGAGGTATGCTAAAATTTTGAGAGCTCGGAACAAGTCAATGATTAAAAAATTGATAGTAAAAATATTTTCCTACTACTCCCACATTGGCGCAAAACTATTTAATTATATAATTAACTTTCTATTTTCATAAAATAGTTTAATGATAATTTAATGAGAAAAATGTTTCTAGGCCCCAAAAAAAACGGATGTGAGTAGCACCCTGTATTTTTTTTGGTGTGACAAAGCATAAGACGAAAATACCATTTTTACCCGTTCCCCTCGATACTGTCCGCCTTCTCTCTCTCTTCTCTCTCTCTATATCTTCTTCACCGTAAAAACCTCCATTAGCTTGCGAACCCATTTTCAAAACCCTAGTTTCACTCAAGCGGCTAGGAAATCTATTTTGAAAATGCCCCAAAAAAATTTAAGTAAAATGGCTAAGAACCGTAAGCGTAGCAAGTATGAAGTGGACAACACTCAAACGGAACGGGACGTTCGTCACCGGCGTCGGTCGGCACGATTGGCGCAGGAGGAAATGCCAAACTTATCCGCCTCCGCCTCTGCCTTGATATCGCCCGCCGGCAATTCTGCTCCGACATCCTCTGAGGATGAGGAGAGTAACGAGGCGACGGAAACCCTATTGAGCATGAAAAGTCTGGATATTCGAGAAAGCAGGAGGAGATGCTCGCTGGAGGATGTGTCTATCTCAAAGAAGAAGTAAGTTCCCAAGCAATTGAGTGATTTTGATTTTAATTGAGGTTTATGGGTTATTTTTTTGAATAAAATGGTGGCGAGAGACTGGTTATTGTAGTGTAGAACCAGTTTTGTAATTTTAGAGTAAGATCTGAACAATACGAAGTGTTATCAGTTTGGAACAAATGCATGTAAATAATTCTGAGGTCATTTGTTGATAGCTAGTTGCAATGCATGTCAATAAATCTTGTTTGTTGTTAACGTTTATGCATAAGTGTCAAGTATTAGCTATTCATGTTAATAAAACGTAATTTTGACTAAGTTAATGCCTTTACGGTTAATTGTTACCTAATTTGCAGTTGAACGACTTGTTAAGAGTAAATAGTTGTTTATGCAGGAAAGCTACAGCCGAAGGTGATATAAGGCCTAGTGCCTGTCTTGGATCATATTGTACTTTCATGCAAAGACTTCAACCAAAACTGAAGCAGTGGCATTGGGATGCCTACAAGGGCAGTAACTTTGAGCACTATGTATTCTTCGGACCTCCAGCACGTGATCGACGGGCACTAGAGCATGTGCTCAGCCATTATGTTGGCGAAACTGATAAATTCTTTTTTCCTGATCCCATAAGCGGGACTATATTTTCAGTCCAATTTGATGAAGAGTGGGTGCAAACTCACACGGGCTTCCCTATTGATGGGGAATTGATCTACGGGAATAGAGACCCTCACAACCGGCTTTGGAGGGAATATTTTGAAGAGAAGAAAGAAAAGCTAAAGGCAAAGTCAAAGGCGAAGGCCAAGGCCTCACAAGAAGCTGGTAGCATGAGGAGATATGTTGAGGAGTTACTGGAAACACTGGTTGAGTCTTCTGATAATAAGGACATTGAGGATTTTATGCTGCTTCAGATCTTGTACCAGTGTGCAATGATTTGGTGCCCCAACAGCTCACAAGGCATTCCAAGACAGTTGTTTCAATATGTAGATAGTATTAAGAGAGTGAAGAACATTGCGTGGGGTAAATTTATTTTTGATGAGACGAAGAGAGGCATTCAAATTGTCGTTGAAGGGTTGAGGAAGCCAGGGGTTACATACGTACCTGGATGCATGCCGCTCATCCCTGTAAGTTGCATGACCAACTGGTCTGACATTTGTTTTAGTTAACATTAGTCTTGGTAACAGGCATTAGAAAACATGTACAATATTAAATGTTTACAGAATATGGTTAAAATTAACATGTTAACATGAACTTTAACATATAAAAATTAAAGTTAACATCAATAGGTGAAAGTTAACATGTTATCATGAACTTTAACATATAATTATTAAAGTTAACATTAATAGGTGAAAGTTAACATTTTAACATGAACTTTAACATATAATTATTAAAGCTAACATTAATAGGTGAAAGTTAACATGTACCCATTAATGTTAACATGTTTTGGTGAAAGGTAGCTATTTAGAGTGTAGTTGAAGAATGAGTTCTGAAAGTTAACTATTTTGATATTCGTTCCTTCGATTCTGACAGCTATGGTACTATGAGATGACTGGCATTAAAAAACCAGCCCTAAACTTGAGATGGAAGCCTCCGATGACCAATTGGGTAAGGGTTGGAGGGATTAGCGGATCGTTGAGGATGGAGACAATTGTCTCTAAGGCCAAGAAAGCAAGCATTAAAATCATGGAGAGACCAATTACGACCAGCATTGAATGGGGTGAAAAATACCCTCAAGGTGAAAAATACCCTCAACGGGAGCCTAGCAGGAAGAAGATTGAAATCGCTCGCTTTGGGAAAAAAAGAAGCCGGCTCTAACTTCCTCGTCCGATGTCGGAATGAGGTGATCCAAGATGCGTTGGAAAGATGACGAAGAGATCTACAAATTTTGTCTTTTGATCTTCTTCAGATTTGGATCATATCATGGCTTAAATGTGTAATATATTACCGCGGCAGTATACACTGCCGCGCACCTCCGATGCAGTTTGCGACCTCTTGGGTATTTTGGCTCTAACTTCCTCGTCCGATGTCGGAATGAGGTGATCCAAGATGCGTTGGAAAGCTATCGAAGAGCTCTACAACTTCCCATTGGCGCTTCACTATGTTTATTTGCGCGACACCTTGTACTGTCGCGCTGTTGCCGCGGCAGTGTACACTGCCGCGCACCTTCGATGCAGTTTGCGACCTCTCGGGTATTTTGGCTCTAACTTCCTCGTCCGATGTCGGAATGAGGTGATCCAAGATGCGTTGGAAAGCTATCGAAGATCTCTACAACTTCCCATTGGCGCTTCACTATGTTTATTTGCGCGACACCTTGTACTGTCGCGCTTTTGCCGCGGCAGTGTACACTGTCGCGCACCTTTGATGTAGTTTGCGACCTCTCGGGTATTTTGGCTCTAACTTCCTCGTCCGATGTCGGAATGAGGTGATCCAAGATGCGTTGGAAAGCTATCGAAGAGATCTACAAATTCCCATAGGAATATCACTCTGTTTGTGTGCACAACCCCTTCCACTACCGCGCAAATGCGCGTCAGTGTTTCTTGTCGTGGGTGTTCATATTGTTCTTCTATGTTGTCTAGCTTCCTTTGAATGATCCCCTTTGATTAAGAGAATGACGTTTATCGCCTCTTCTTTGTCTTGAGTAGTATTTGGATGTCTGTAAGTATTTTTTGACGCCTACAGATACCCCCTCCAAAGTATCTCAGACTCATCATTTCTTTAGAGAAGAGTCTGGGACACTTTGGATATGATAAGGTTTCCTTGCAATTTCTCTAGTGCTTTGTTGAGGAAATTACGTAGCATGGTCTATGAATGGCTTCAATCTTTGACTTCTTCATCTTTTAGCTTATTCAGTGCTTTGTAGAATAGCTGAGATTCCTCCGGTGTTGCGTTTATCGCTTGACCGTTATCGAAGTCTTGAATTTGAACTGCCGTCGAAGAATAAAGAAATAGTTTATACTCATATACTCTATTGGAGTGTTCGGAAAATAGTTTAACCTCATATACCCGTTGGAAGGTAGTCAGGTTATTCTTAAGAATATTTTGAGTAATATTCTTCAGAAACTTCCTGTTGAGGCTAGGGAAACAGTTTAGACTCGTGCACCCATTGGAGTAATATGGTCTCTCTTTTTGTTGGTAGAGATGAACCCGAAATCGGAGAGGAAGAATTTTATATTCTATCTCCTGGTCTCTTGTTTGTTGGTAGAGATGAACCCGGAATCGGAGAGGAAGAATTTTATATTCTATCTTCTGGTGCAAAAGAAATTCAAAGTGGAATCTTCACTTAGAAAATCTAGACTGGTTTGAATAATCCTAACTGTCATAAGGTTTGGTTATTCAGTTCAAAAGTGGACCTTTCGTTCGTAAAATGAATCGAAAGGAGATTTTGGTTGTGGTCCTAACTGTAGTAAGGTTTGACCAAGCGGGGGTTTTGAGACGATCCTAACTGTAGGAAGGTTTGATCGCTCAATTTGTGGACCTCTCGTTCATGGAACGAATCGAGAGGGGATTTTGGCTTTGGTCCTAACTGTTTAAAGGTTTGACCAAGTGAGGAATAGGAGTAGGGTGCAAATAACAATGAGTTTATTGATTTGCACAAACTACTCGGTGGGAGTTTCGAGGGGATCCTAACTGTAGGAAGGTTTGATCGCTCGATTTATGGACCTCTCGTTCATTGAAGGAATCGAGAGGGGATTTTGGTTTTGGTCCTAACTGTTTAAAGGTTTGACCAAAATGGGAATTTGAGACGATCCTAACTGTTTAAAGGTTTGATCGTTCAATTTGTAGACCTCTCGTTCATGTTTAAAGGTTTGACCAAATAGGAATTCGAGACGATCCTAACTGTTTAAAGGTTTGATCGTTCAATTTGTGGACCTCTCGTTCATGGAAGGAATCGAGAGAGGATTTTGGTTTTGGTCCTAACTGTTTAAAGGTTTGACCAAGATGGGAATTTGAGACGATCCTAACTGTTTAAAGGTTTGATCGTTCAATTTGTGGACCTCTCGTTCATGGAACGAATCGAGAGGGGATTTTGGCTTTGGTCCTAAC